ATAGATAGATAGATAGATAGATAGATAGATAGATAGATAGATAGATAGATAGATAGATAGTTGTATAGTTTCTGCTACCCCATATTCTTTAAAATTTTATAATTAATAAATTGAATATTAGTTTTTAAATTTTAAATTAAATAAAAATAAAAAATTAAAAGACATCTTATATTCCGTTTTTATACTTTTCTGCTGGATGGTTAAGACAAGGTAAAGCAGGACCTATGCAACAAGAGTTGTAGCTTTTGGGTCTGATAAGGTCAGTGAAATCCCCTCAGGATTTATCCTGAGATCCTGTACCTCAGATTGTAGAACCTTTGTCAGTGTCAGCCATGGGGATGAGTCACATGCCACACCAGCCCCATCCCTGGGCGCTCTGAGCCACCAAAACCCGGCGTGGTGGCACACCACAGTGCTATATTCCCAGTGCTAGGAGGCTGAAAACAGGAGGATCACTATGAGTCTGAGCTCTGTAGTGAGATTCTACACCAAATACATAAAAGACAGTTCCCCAGTAATACTGCTGTTGGTATGGTTTAGATCTGGGGTGTCTCCCAAAAGACTTATGTGTTTGGAAGGTCATTATATCATGGGGGGTATGCTTATTGGTGAATTCATCTACTGGTGAGTTCAGCAGCTGAGTATGGTGCTGGAGGCAGGTTTCTGGGCATAAAGCCTGCAAGGGTATAGTTTCCCTCCTTGGCTTCTCTCCCGCACTCTGCTTCCTGGCCACCAGGCCACAAGCTGCTTTTCTCTCACTCATACCGTGCCTGTCATTTCTGTCCTGGAGCTGCCAGCCATGGTCTCTAAAAACAGGAGCTAAGAGAAGCCTCTCTGTTGAACGTGTTAGCCATTTAGCTCTAGCACTGAGAAAGTAGGTAGGAAAGTTGTTTCAAGATTCACTAATAGCCATAGGTGATAGTGGTTGCCGTATTTGACAGAGCAGCACTACAACGTAAGTAATTCAGGAACTTTCCAGAAGTTCAGGCCTTGTTTGTACCTGCTTCAAGTGTAGCATCAAATTAATCATTTCATTTCTCAGTGCTTTCATTTTTCTGAGGCAATAAATAATCTGAAGACTAATGGGTTAATACATATAACTAATAATAGAAATTCTTATTATTGCTATAATCATAAAATTACATGGTATTATAGTAGCTATCTTTTCTGACATGTCATGTTTTTTGCAGCTATTTAGCTGCATTTTGAAGATGTTTACCCATGTTAGTTGTTACAATAAATGCTAAATATTTACAGTGTTTTCTTCTTTAAAGGCCTTGACACATAGTCATTAATAGGATAACATGTCACTTGTGTTAGAAATGAATTCTCAGGCCAGACATGGCCTTTCTGCTCAACAAAAACTTTCACTACACTTGTCATATATTCTATAGTACAGTATATGTAAATTCAAGTGTCGTTATTATTCCTGAGTGATGAACAGAAAGTACATATTAAATAACTTTTCTGCTCCTGAGTACCATAATTAACTAATCTCAACAGAGAATATGCTTCTGAATACCATAACAAACTAATCTCAACAGAGAAATATTTTACCTCTTTAATTTTTACTCTTGTGTGTTCTACAAAGCTCAAAAGTCAAGTACAGCTTTCTTGAATACATAAAATATATATTAAATGCCATTAAATAAAATAATCTCTAAACTACCATCATAATACTTTCATGGGCATTATAGTTCTCAAAATACTTACCTGTATCTTATTATCTCAACAGCACTAAAACATAAACAGGACAAGTTCTGCTAAGTAGATTTCTTGGACAGAATCTCACTCCGTAAGGCTAACTGACTTGCTTAAAGTTAATGAAGTGATCAGTATAAGAACTATACCCCTACTCTAAGTCTGATGACTTTTGCCACCACTTACCAAGGGTTTCCTATATACTGGAGAATATGTTGAACATAATTGAGGCTTTACCCTATTTAATGGTCTCAATTTCACACCTTATCTATTTTACAGATGAAGAATACAAACCATAATACAGAAAGACTGTTATACATAGGTCCTTTATTTTACCTGAAAGCCTCTGTTTTTAATTTCTATGCTATGCCAAATCTAAACCTAGAACATTGTCAGGGTAAGCAATAAAGGAATCACGCTTCATTGGAAATAACTACTATGTACCACATTATTTGTTAGGTGTAGTGTTAAACTCTGCAGTTACTGTCATATCTTTCATGTACAACAACCATATGAGTTTATTAGTTTTCCCACTTACAAACGAGGATACAGATTGTCACAGGAACTATTTATTTATTTGTTTGGGTTTTTTTTAGGGAAGGGTCTACAGGGTGTTCAGGGTCTCACTACTAGATCAGACTTGTAGGTAATCCACCTGTTTACAGCCTCCCAAGAGCTGGGATTACAGGCATGCACCACCATACCCAATCTCAATCGCTGTCTCAGCACACCCTCGGGGTGGGGCCAGCACAGCAGGCCTGGGGAATTGAACCCCAGGCCCCTGCACCTGCTTGCAGGTGCTTTAATCCACTGAGCTATTTGGCCAGCCACAGGTACAATTTAAAACTGACTACAGATCATATACTCTGGCATTCCTTTTGCCATTCTGCTTGTTTAAATTTCAGATCCACTACTGTTTTCCCTATTTCTTGATGGCATAACACTGCTTCTTACTGATTAGTAAAGTTTGATTTTTTTTAAATTTTAGTTTTAAAGAGAAAATATATTCTGAGTTCAATCCCTGGTAACACAAAAGAAAAAAAGAAAAAGAAAAGAAAAAATATTCTGTTTACTGTAACAATGCCAAAAATGAGTGTATGTTTATACCACTTGGATAGCATAGTGCAGAAAAGTAACTTTGAGCACTGTCTCATCCAGTCTGCACAAAGAATCTTTGTGTGATACACTGATGGGTTATAGCAGTAATATGGAACTTAACATTTGTACTGTAGATCTTGAGCTAAACAGATCCATCACTATGAAATGGGAAACTACTACAGTTCCCCTAAAACTGACCAAAATTGAATGGCTCATTTGTTGGTTATTTTTATTTAAAGCTATACAGCTAAAATATGATAGTAGATTAAGGATTGCTCAGTAATTTTGTCCACTGTAGTTAAATAATTCACATAGATGTATAGTTGATTATATACAGAATAACTTTTCTGCAAGCAGAAAAAACCTTTTCTCTACATTTACTAATTACTCTTCTGAACATCGCACTTGTGTTGCTTCAGTAAACAAAGTTTTCAGAGCTATATGTTCTTTAACAACAAATGGTATTTTAAGTTCTACAAACACTTCCTGGATAAATTTCTGTGAAGTTTTAATTTAGTTTGCTTTATTATCTGTAGAAATTTCTCCTGTACTAGTTTGCATATTCCATTAAGACTCTTCAAAGAAGGAAGTAAAACAAGCTTGTACACATACATTCATATCTAAAGGCAACAGAGAAGATAAAATGTGAAGGACATACTATTTCTACTAAAACTCTTAACTAGAATAAGATGCACTCATAAAAGTTGTGTACTACAGTAATATAGAGATGACTTTATTTTGAGAAATTTATACTTCTCCAACCTAATAATCTATATATTTTAAATGAATTAATTTAAGCAGAATAAAATAGCTGACAAGTTTTATTATGTCAGGGGGTACATACATGATAAGTTTTTACAACATTTCTTCTGTTTATTTAATGTAAGGTAATTTAATGTAACAGGATATGACATCACAAAGATGGCTTAGATCAAGAATTTTTTTAAGCAATGCCTTTAGACAGCACTTAAATAAGTAGTATTTTAAAGATTTATAGTCTTTAGTCCCTCTCCCTTCCCCTCCTTTTCCCTCAGCCATTAACTTTTGCCCCTCTGCTGTGTGTCACCCTACTGTGAAGCCAGCTGATTATGTACTGAAACCTCTACCAACTGAACTAAATAAACGTTCTCTCCCTTTAACATTGGGCGTTAGATATTTTATGTGAGCAACAAGAAAAAAGTAAGACCCTTCTGAAGAATGGAGTTCAAATGTTTGACACTTAAGAAGGTCTTTTACTTAGAAATAAAATGGAATATCTGACAATTGGGGTATGTGAGGCATCTCTAGGTCTCTGTAGTTTAGTGTCTTCCAGCAGATACAGTTATTTAAAATTTACACATCTCTTTGTTGGTCAGACAATTCAAGTGATAAAATTTTTTCCCTCATCTACTTTTCCTTTATTTTCTAAAGGAAAATGAAATATACTGAGTTGTAATCATAAACTCCCTCCCTAAAACATGGGACTTAATCAAAGCATGAGTAGATGAGCTGATCACAGGATTCAAAGGCTAAATTTTGTTTGTATCATGGGAAAATGTGTAAGTTCCTACTAAACAATGCTTAAGTATAAATTTGGGGGAGTATACATATTTTAAGTGTTCAAGTCAAAGAATTTTGACTTAAGTGACTATATCAATGTAACGATCCAGATCATGAAACTAAATTATTTTAGCACCTCCAGTAGCTCCTTTGTTCCACCTCTGATACCTGTAAGGATATACACACTTTTGCCTATTAACACTGTCAATCAGTATTACATGATTCTAGAAGACCAGTAATGCCTCTTTTTCTATAAGTAGGTGTACTTTCATTAATGTATATACTATAGGAATTGCAGAGATGACTTGGTCTTTGTGGGCAGTGGAGTGATTTTATTTCACTTAATGTTATATTACATTTTTCACATTCACCCATATTATTATGTATATTATGCCAATATCTTCCATTTTTGTTCATTCATTTTGGCACAGATGGACATTTGGGTTGCTTCATGTTTGGCACTATGTAAACATTGTTCCATATGTCCTTTGTGAATTTATATACTATGTTGTTTAGGTCTGATACGTAGGACTTGAACAGCTGGATCTTTTAGTTTTCCTAATTTTTATTTTAAAGAAAATAAACAGTTCCAAAACAATATGATAGGAGGGTAACAGTGTTTAATACATTGTGTATTGTTATCTTTAGATTAGTTACTCAGACCTTCCAACAAAGGCATGTCATGAGTTCCTTGTCTTTGGACACGTAAGAATTGGAGGCAAAAATATTGTGGATTTGGTGACATCTGGGCCAGCTTATTCCCTGCAGATTCCAGATCAACCATTTCACATAAAAGAAAAAAAAAAATAGTCACTTAGAATATAAGATATCAGCATCTCATAGTCCAAATAATATTAGCACAACATTTTCACTCAACTAAGAGAAATTAATAATATAAATATTTTAACTATTTTTTGTGTAGGTATACATATTTTTCTTCTGCTTTTCCCTTCCTTCTTTTTTCTGTCCCCCTAAACCAGTATCTCTTTCCTTTTGAAGTGTCTTCCCATTTTCATATCTACGTACATTTTGAATCTTATTTACTCTTTCATTTTACACTAAGGCAACAATACATTGTTTACACATTTGCATCTGGTTTATTTCATTTATTTATGAGTATGGTCTCAAGTTGCATCTATTTACCTATAAAAGTTTCCAGTTTATCCTTCTTTATGGATGAGTAATACTCCATTATATAAAAAGAGCACTTTTTTATCCATTCCTCAGTTGATGGGCATTTGGGTTGTTTCCAAAATCTAGCTATTACAAATTGTGCTACTATGAACATGACTGTACATATATCACTGTGGTATGATGTTTTTAATTCTTCTGGAAAGATACACAGAAGGGGAGTCACTGGGTCAAATGGGACCTCCAGTCCTAGTTTTTTGAGGGATCTCCATAATGATTTCCACAGTGGTTGCACCAATTTGCTCTCCCACAAACAGTCGAAAAATATTCCTTTTTTCCCACAGCCCTGCCACCATTTGTTATGGTTGATTTCTTGTTAATGGCCATTCTCTCTGGGGTAAGATGGAATCTGTGTTTCAATTTCCATCTCTCAAATGGCCAGTAATGTTGAACATGTTTTCATATATTTATTTACCATTTGTATGTCATCTGAAACGTGTGTATTCATCTCCTATCTCAGTTACTTTGCTCTCGTTGCTGGGACAAAAAACCCAACACCCAAAATTAAGAACGAAAAGGTTTGTTTGAGTGGAGGTTTCAGTCCATATTCAGCTGCTCCAAATCAGAGTGGCACATGGCAGAGGGCAGCTGTTTGTGGCAGTGGAGAATGCAAAGTGCAAAGGGAGGAGCAGTGGCTGTGACAGTAGCAAGCTTCCTTACTTTGTATAACGGCTGGATCTTACAGGGCATGCATAACATCCAGGTTTTGTAGGTACTTCTAGAGATAATTCAGGCATAAATCAATAGTATTGTATTAGGACACATGAATTCCATTTCATCCTAATGCTTGCCAACACTTTATGTATGCCCTACCCCCTAACCACCACCATTATTTTTTTTCATTCCAGAGGTGAATAGTGGTAATAAATTATTGGATTTAATTTACTTCATTGATGATTCATGGATTGACTATCTTTTTATATGCTTATTTTGACACTGACATATCTGCTTCATTTATTTATTTATTAGCAACACCCCTTTCAGTAGTAGTTATTAAGTATACCATTTGCTTTTGACTTTTCCAAGGTGTTGTTTTAGGACTATCTCATATATATATTA